TGTTTTGTTTACAGACTAAAGCCAAACCTGGATAAACACGCAATAAAATGATGCTGTGTGTATGGTGGGATTGAAAGTTTATCATGAGCTTTTACCGCCGGGTAAAACCATCGATTCGGATCTCTACTACCAATAAATAATGAGACAAGCAAGAAATAGAAAAAAAAACGACTGGCATTGATAATCAGAAAAGGAGTGGTCTTTCATCATGATAACGCCAGATCACAAGATTAGTTGTCTGTTTGAGACTTTCAATACACACTAACATTCCTAAAAATCCAGTATTTGCTTGAGTACTTAAAACTGGTTTAAAAGTTTTAGTCATTATTTTCTTTTGTTGCTTGTGTTCTTTAAAAGAAAGCTTTCTGGAGGTTTTAATATTTAAGTTTATAATTTTTTTCCATTATAAATGGGATGATTAAATCCATGTTCCTTCAAATCTCTGGTATTGAATATATCAAATAAAACTACTTGTCGCATATTTTTATCAAAATCCCAAGATTTCTACAGCAACGTTTATTTTTTATCACTTCACTACCTACAAGATGGTAACAAATTATCGAATAGAATGGACCCATATATATTATAATTAAATGTAATAAAACTTTAAAACAAAAACGTCTTGAATTTGTATACAATATACCAAGAAACTTTTTCCCCATATATACTAACTAAAGGTGTAACAAAATAGTACTTAATAACTTAGGGAATGATTCTGCCCGTCAACGTGAATATTTTTTATTATGGGATCATCTTCGAAATTTTCAATTTATACGTGATAGACCCATACTGCAGCTATATTACTGGTATAGTTGTAGCACGAATGGGTCAGCTCGACCGGGGACGGACCACGCTCTCACAGAATACCAGTGTAAAATAGGAGCTTAACGCTGCTGTGTTTCCTATGGTGAGTGTAGAGAACCGGAGACCCTTTTTACTGCAAACGAGGCATTCCATCTTAGTCCTTAGGGGTTGCAAGTTGCAACGCATCTGCATTTTGATTCTTAACCGAGGACAGATGTATATGTCTATGGGCCACAGCAACCACTTACAATCAGGTGGACTGAGTGCTCGTTTGTCACCCTGATCCTATTAAAAATATCTCAAAGTCAGTTATTCCATACAAAATTTTGTACAAACTTGCTCAAAATGTATGGAAGACCTGATTTTTCTTGCGATTAGGAAGATAGATCTATAGTAAAAGTTGTTCATATTGACGCGTAGAATAACATAACATAACATAAACACTCACGCCTGTCACCCAGAGGGGTAGGCAGAGATTATGGACTTCCATTTGGCACGATCCTGACACACATACACCTACTGACACATATACCTACGCGTACACGCTCGTCGGTTAAAGGTACTCTTGATATGGCCCATTTTTAATATATCGCCAATTTGGTCGATAAACTTTCGCCTAGGGCGACCCTTCCCGAATGGAAAGAATAGAAAGCCCTATTTTGATTACGCCATATATATATAACTATTTTTTTAAATAATTTTTCAATATTGGTTAGACATGTAAATAAAAAAAATAAACTGATAAAAAGGAGGCCTTATCATTTATATGTCATTTATTCAGAAGAAAAACCTATACATAACGAATGTATCAATATACACAAATATATTGATACATTCGTTATTAATAAACTATTAATTTTTAAGTATTTCTGGAATACATTCGTAACTATGAACTTAACTACTAAGCCATAGCATAAAATAAATTTTCCCGTTAATCGGGTAATAGTTAAGCTGCTGGCATATACAATTTTTCATGCACACTAGCATCATGTAAATTGTCTTATACACACTACAATATTAAGATGCCGCGTTCATGGAGCTGTTACTTGAAGGGAGCGCGGTATCTAGTCAGAGCGCGCGATGACTTATCATTAATCTATGGGTCAAAGGGTTTGCAATAACCTATTTTCTATGCTAATGCTCGAAGTTACCCATGGATAAGGGAAGGTGAATTTTTTGTTAGATAAGTTAGTATTTATAGCGAAAAAGGAATTAAGTAATTTTAACTACAGAAGTATGTAATACCTAAGTACTTTATTAAAAAAACTTAGTTGAAATTTACTTCACTATCCAAATAGCTACTCACATACTATACTTGTCTTTTGTAATTAAAATATAAATAAAAAAAATTAAAACTTTGTTTACAAGAATTTTTAAGAATACGATCAAATTTCATTTAGGAATCGTACTGTATTTCAAGTTCATTTGTTGTTTACACTATCTACCTATTTCTTCCTTCCGAGCCAAGCATCGTGGTTCCCGACGTAGGCTTGGGCAAATAATATCGATATTCTTTAATAAAAATATCGATATATATCGTCGATATTTTAAACCGCGATGTATTGATATATCGATATTTTTTTTAGAGTATCGAATTCGTATCAATTTCGATATATTTTAAAATGTTGATAACATCATGCAAATGATGACGATATATCGATATTTATCACGCGATATAAGTCGATACTGTTTAAAAATACAGATTCGATATATATCGATTATTTTTTTTCCTTGCCCATTCCTATCCCGACGATTGTCCGATGTCATTGCAACACATTGCAAGTTGCATCATTGCATGCGTTGGGCGAAAATATGGTCAGTGGATCATAGTCAGAATAGGTATTTATTTAAGGCGATACCCCGACCAAAACCTTGTAATTGTGCGTTTTTCAGAGACTATTATCTCATTAGTTATGAGAAATAAACTACGTCTAAAAGCACATTATTAATGTTCGATATCCTATCATCACATTCCACTTAATAAAAAACACAAAGTTCTAATTTGTTTTATGTTATAAATACGTTTAAAATCTACTTTTAAAAAATGACTAAAATTATTGATTACATACATCTGTTGCTAAAGACAACGCTCTAATCATTTGAGAATTACACTAATGGATAGATAATTTAAAAATCTATATTCTTCACGTTTTATTTAACTTTTAAAGTTCGTTATTTTCTTTTTTAATTAAAATAATTCCAAAAATTGTGTGAATTCTATGATAAAGCGGCGTACGTCTAAAAGGGGCTCTTCACGTTGGCCAACATACTGGCGAATGTGTTGGCCAACAACGATGGCCATCGGGTAGAGCGGGTGTTTAAGCTACGTTGGTACGTATTGGAACGATGGCCCACATGTTGGCGCGAGATCCGTCTGGTGTCGGTTTTTTACAAAAGATCAAAGGGTTGTGGCAGAGTATTGGCCACCGCGTCCACACGTTGGGCGCACGTTCAGTTTGCTACACAGAGTACATTATATATAGGGAAGTTTGCTACGAGCTCCCAGAGTGATTGCACGCACCTGATTTAAATTTTATATGCACGCATCGTAACTAGTGTCTACATAACGGCAGTAACAATGACCAATGAAATAACTTTTCGCTTTATAGAGCCCTACCAAGCCGAAAATTGTTTGTGAAACACAAGTTTTTAAAAAAAAAAACGTTACTCCCACACTAGGATTTTCTCCTGTATCGTGGAGGCAGTTTAGAAACATAAATTGCATAAGGACAAACATCCAGACCCGGAGAAATTATGTGCAGGCTATACAAATACTTGTTCCGTGCGGGATTCCGTGCGTGAAACCCGCGGCCCCCAGGGCAGCAACTCATTGCTAAGCCACTATACCACGGAGCCGTCAAGAAATAAAATTTCTTTTTTCCATTTCTTTTTGAGCATCCTTATCTTATACATATTCACGTTGTAGTGATTGATGTATTAATTTATTTATTGATGTATTAATTGATTTATTAAATATCTTAAAATCTATAATATATATTAAAATCAAATTAAAAAGTAGGATACTAAAATCATGTTTTTACTGTCTTTATTATTCCCTATTAGTTACTTTATTTCTTTTTTTTTCTATTTATTAGGTTTACCAACAATTGCTAACACTTACACATCAAATTAGTACAATAACTTAAAAGTATTAACAAAAGTGCTACAATTACTTAAAGGTAAACTCCGCATGCATATAACTTTATAAAACATAAACAAAAAAACAATAAGTTATTCCTCAACTAAAATTAAAAATATATCTATTAGTAAGAATAGTGCTACATAAACTCAAAAAATAAAAATAATTTAAAAAAAAAATATCTACTTTACGCTATTAACTTATACATTTACGGAGACACTTTTGCGGACGAATTTATTAAAATGATTATTGAAGCGCTAACGGCTGTTGCGGTTTATTTATTCACAGCATACCACTATTTTTTATTTTATTTTCACTATTTTTAATATTTCTTTATTATATACTAACGTTATACAGATAAGTAAACTATATAAACATTAACACACCTAGGCATAGGTATAATTAAATAAGGCCTGGAAAATATATATACGCCCGTTTTCTATTTCATGTAAATATATATATATATATATATATATATATATATATATATATATATATATATATATATATATTTATTTATACTGTAGATTAGCATAAGCTTAGCTTAATTTTAACCCGATACAACTATAAATTCAGAATCAAAGATTATGCTAAGCATGTACTCAGCTAAGTTTTTCGTAAGCTAAGTCCAGCTAAGTCTGAGCAAAGTCAAAGTACGATCCATAGATCTCAGCCTCATTAACCACGGAAAGTCCGCAGTGACATAGTAAAAGGAAAAGATGCAAAGCAAAGTACGGACACTCGCGCGCACCGATAGTTTTATTTAGCTTGCGTGCGCGATTCATATAATTAATAATAATTATGTAGGCTATTAAAACTTCGGCAAGCAGTCATCATCAAAGGAGTGCAACTTATGTATACAAACTAATAAGAAGTGCTAGCTTATGTACGTAGTACTATTATTTATTCTGTGACTTGGTGCAGTGTCCGTTTTTATGGTTAATATGGGTATGTGAGTACGAAAGACATGAGTGAAGCTGGGAGTTTGATTGTTAAGGCGGCCTATGTTACAGCAATTAATTTTGGGTAAAAAAGTAAATAAAAACTACGAATTATTATATACTTGTTTTATTAGTTAGTTTTGTGGCCCTTTAAAATATACAAAGTAGTTGATATTTCTAATATACTTTACATGTCGCAATGTACTTAATAAATATTTATCTTTTACCGACTTCAAAAAAGGAGGAGGTACTCAATTCGAGTGTGTTTTTATTTTGCTTTTTTTATGTGCATCACCTCATAACTGTTATACGTGAACAAGTTTCGATGATTCTTCTTTTTTTTTGAAAGCTGGTGCTTCTCATTTGGTCCCATATAATATATAAATTTGATCAAGTTCTGACCAATAGTTTTAGTTATCTGTAATAATATATGTTGAAGTCGGTTGTACAAAATTTTTAATTATTCAAAAAATATTTTGCATCACCTCTCCAAAGTGTGTGTCGAATAAGTTGATCAACCCACATATTTTACCACATCCCTCACGACAAAGGTTTTGCTCCAGTGTGTCTTTTCATATGCCTTTGCAAACTTCTTTTTGTATTACATTTAAATTCACAGATATGACACGAATAAGGTTTTTCTCCAGTGTGTATTTTTATGTGTCTTCTCAATAGACCTTTTTGAATACATTTATATTCACAGATATTACACGAAAAGGGCTTTTCACTGGTGTGAATTTTTATGTGTTTTCTTAAATCAGTTTCTTGTCTACATTTATATTCACAGATATTACACGAAAAGGGCTTTTCACTGGTGTGAATTTTTATGTGTTTTCTTAAATCAGTTTCTTGTCTACATTTATATTCACAGATATTACACGAAAAGGGCTTTTCACTGGTGTGAATTTTTATGTGTGCTTTCAAATTTCCTTTTAAAATACATTTATATTCACAGATATTACACGAAAATGGTTTTTCTCCACTATGTATTTTCATATGGTTTGACAAACTGAATTTATTTCTACATTTATATCCACAGACATGACACGAAAAAGGCTTTTCTCCGGTATGTATTTTCATATGTGTTTGCAAATTACTTTTTAAAATACATTTATATTCACAGATATTACATGAAAAAGGTTTTTCTCCGGTGTGTATTTTCATATGTGTTTGCAAATTACTTTTTAAAATGCATTTATATTCACAGATATTACACGAAAAAGGTTTTTCACCGGTATGTCTGTTCATATGTGCCTGCAAATTACTTTTTACAATACATTTATATTCACAGATATTACACGAAAAAGGTTTTTCTCCGGTATGTATTTTCATATGGTTTGGCAAACTGAATTTATTTGTACATTTATATTCACAGAAATGACACGAAAAAGGTTTTACTCCGGTGTGTCTTTTCATATGTGTTTGCAAATTACTTTGTCGATTACATTTGTATTCACACATATTACACGAAAAAGGTTTTTCTGCGGTATGTATTTTCATATGGTTTAGAAAAGTGCTTTTACTTGTACATTTATAATCACAATTATTACAACAGTACACTCTGTTAGCAACGTGAACTTTGAAATGTGCCACAATGCGACGTTTTTGAGATGTTTTAAACTCGCAAATATCACAATTAAATATTTCCGTTGGTTGTGGTATTGGAGTTTGTTCAACTTGTGTACGAACTGCAGTGGTGTCTGGGTTCATTTGCGTCTTATGACTGTATGAAATGTGTTTGACGAGAACGTCTTTTGTTGAAAACTTTTTGCTACAACCATCACATTCAAAAATGTATTTAGTTGATGCTTTTTTCATAAGTACATTTACACTCTTTTGTTTCAAAATTTCCTTTTTCCTAATCTTTGCAGGATGCTTTCCTTTTTTATTAATAGGTTGACTATTTTTCTTCCCTTCTAGGTTAAATTTAATAGTAGAGCTTTCAAAAACGAGGTTTTCTTTACGTACATCGTTTATGTTACTATCAGCAGAATTTGATTTAATATTTTTCTTAGACGATTCCGAAAAATCATTTGTCGGTGTGATGTACAGTTCTGAAAATACACACGAATTAAACATTTTATTTATTGTAAGACACCATAAACGGTTAACAATGGGCGGAGCTTATGCCTTATGGCATTTTCTATCATTTAACCCAGGGAGAAATAGAGAAATTACAATACCGTGGCGCAGTTCTTAGCAATGAGTTGCTGCACTGGGGGCCGCGGGTTCGAATCCTGCACGGAACAAGTATTTGTATGGCCTACAAATAATTGTTCCGGGTCTGGATGTTTGTCCTTGTGCAATTTGTGTTTGTAAACTGCCTCCACGATACAAGAGGAAATCCTAGTGTGGGGGTAACGTTTAAAAAAGAAAAAAGAAAAGAAAGACATAATTCTATCCACTCACCATCACGTGGACTGTGTTTGTCATCCTTATTCTAAAAAAAGGTAACATGTATGTACTATTAGTTCGAATACCAATCGGATAACTGAGATAGTAAGTTATACTTCAATTAATCGGATACGATACTGGTGACATTCCAAACTTTACTCCGCACGCCCCACTGATGCCCAGGTATTCTTAAATAATAAAAGTTATAGTGGAGTTTTAGCATGTGCAAGGTCACAACTCTGTACGGGAACTTAACCGCCGGCGGACTGTTTTATCGTTTAAATAATAGTTTGAAGTAGATTTTGGTATGTAAAAGGGATGCGATTTTGTGTATTAAAATTCTGCGTATGAGAACTTTTTTTATGGAAGTGAAGGCAAACGATTTTACGACACACCTGATGGTAAGTGATTACCGTCACCCATGAAAACATCTGCATCACCAAAGAAATAGCAGGTGCGTTGCCGGTCTTTTAGAAGACCGAGACTTTGTTCAACAAAAACTCAACCTCAGATACAAGTTATATTCCGGCACTCGATAACGTGTTCCCGAGAAATAATAGAACGGCCGCTGTATGAGGCATCGCCAGTGCCGTCGTAATAGTATGCAACTTATCATTGATTATTTATTATTATTATTAAATTATTATTATTAATAAAAATAAAAATAAATTTTTCTATTAAAGTCGTCTAAAGATATATTAAAAATTAATATTTTGAACATTTAAATACATTAAGGCTGGGTGTTCCAAGCGCATTAGGTATTTACAAGCGGTCGTCGCAAAGATCGACCGAGTCGGTCGGGAGTGCGATGGAGTCGGGTTGCGCATATGATCGTGATTTTTACAAAATAAGCACAAAAATATTTTTTAAAGTTATAAACAAATATTTACACAATGATAAATAAACACACAAACAAAAGCTTAACTATAGTCTATGAAACTGTATAAAAAGGGTTATTATAGTATAAATGAATACATGGTTGATAATAACCCCAGGGAATGAGGTGATCGCTTCCAAGCTGTTTCTAAAATAAATTTTGTACTTATATTGTTTGTACAACCATTAATGTAGAATTTGCTTTTAAAAAAGTCCCCCTGGGTTTCTTGCTGGTTCTTCCCAGGACAGAGGTTTTTTTTCGAACCAGTGGTAAAGTAAAATATTACTTTCAATAAGAATTACACATGTGATCTATATTGAATAAAAAATTATTCTATTCTATAAGTTCTATAAAACTATAGTTATTTACCATTTATTTTATTTCCTAAATATAATTTACGTAACAGAAGAGAAGTGCGCTCGCAAAAATTTGGTACAGATCTTACCTCGGCAACGTCCCGCGAAACAATGGCAACGACGCGCGGATCGAGAATCACTTGAATAATCGATAATTATTTTAATAAATGTGACGAAAAAAAAACACGATCGGGTGGAATTGATTCCAAAATGAATGAACTTATAAATTGATATTTTTTATAGATGGAAGAAGAGATAGACAAGTTACGCTGGTATATTATAGCATTATCTGAGGTCCGAAGAGAGGTACTCGGAAAGTACACGGTAAACCTAGAATCGATTGGCGGTCCACCACTGTGCGATGATGTTTTCTTCCTCGCACAACTTCCTTGTGGAATCAATTACCACCAGCGATATTTCCGGACCGATACGACTTAGGGACCTTTACGAAAAGAGCCTACTCCTTTTTAAAAGGCCGGCAACGCATCTGCAATTCCCCTGGTGTTGCAGTTGTTCATGGGCAGAGGTAGTCACTTACCATCAGGTGAGCCGCTTGCACGTTTGCCCCCTCTCCTATAAAAAAACTATCTGTCCCAAGGAAGTGTCGGATTTATCGTCCACCAGTCTCTCGTTAACAACGTTGTAAAGATTGTACATTGTAAGGGCTCCAAAGCCTTTGCCAGAGATCTGTCTGCCAGAAAGAGCCAACTGCCAAAGCTGAAGACCGAGTGTGGCAGCATCGTTTCCGCGACACCTGAGATTTTAAGTGAGATTGAAAGGTTCTATGGGCAGCTGTACAGGTCATCGTTGGAGCCACACGCATGAGTGAGTAACGATCTAAGAGCAAGTCTTATCCGACACTATTTCGATGATATCCCGGACGTCAGTCTGAGCGAGATTAGAATGGCGAGGATAGAATTACAGCGGAATTTCTGAAAGCGGGTGGAAAACCGGCACTTGAAGTCCTTCAGAAGCTCTTTAATTCCGTCCTTCATGGTGGGACTACTCCGGAGGCAGATGTGCGGTGGTCTTGTTCTTCAAGAAAGGCGACAACGCTCTCTTGAAGAACTACAGACCGATTTCTGTTCTGAACCGTATCTACGTGCTATTTTCGAGGGTCATTACGAATCGTCTTGCAATCAGACTAGATGACTTCCATCCTCCCAAACAAGTCGGTTTCGAAAAAGCTTTAGTACCAATTGACCACATTCACACCCATCGGCAAATTGTACAGAAGACCCAAGAGTACAATCTGCCACTTTGCCTTGCGTATGTAGAGTATGAGAAAACCTTTGATGCCGTCAATATTCGGGCGGTGCTACAGTCCCTTCAGCGGTGCCAAGTTGATTGTCTGTATATCGGAGTGCTGAAGGAAAGACAAATGGCAACTTATTCCACTCCTTTGCTGTACGCATGATAAACGACGCAGCAAACCGTTTGGTTTGAATGTATGGTAAGTGAACAACGAAAGGGTGGAGACTGGCCGAACGTCTGATTGCCCTATGGTGGAAGGGAGAGGGAGGAATTAAATTATGCAATTCCTGCAAGCGAAGCCGACCGTTACTACTGCAGAAGTTGCGGGGGGGGGGGGGTACTCCGCTCTCCTTCAACCGCACCTCATCGTCGCTTCGTCTAGTCGTCGAGTTGACTCACTGAAAACCCAAAAATTGATTTTGGCCCAACCTAGGAACTGATAATTAGCAGTTGTGCTAACAACAACTTTCTCAGACATGTTGATAGACCTAACAACAATTCAGTAAATCCCCTTTCCTGTTTTATCTTAATGACACCTTGGCTCACCACTGGCAAATTCAGTTTCTGCATGAAACAAGATAATTGTGTGATAATTGTTTGCAAACTTTGAAAGTTGAAGAATGTGGGTTGAGAATGGGCGAGTTAACCGTCAAATGACGGCGGCCGAGTTGCAAATTATGGTTACTTTAATGAACTGGTCATTGAAAGAAAGGGGTATGAAAGCCTACTTTAATGTATGGTAATGAAAGTTGGGTCTGGCAGAAGAAGCATGAGAGTAGAATAAATGCTGTAGAAATGCGGTCCTTAAGGAGTATGCTAGGGCTGAATTTGAAGGACAGGGTGAGAAATAGTGTGATAAGAGAAAAGTGTGGTTTGCAAGATGACGTTGTGACCAGGATTAAAAAAGGAATGCTTCGGTGGTTTGGTCATGTAGAAAGAATGAACGAGGAAAAAGTGACAAAGCAAATCTATGTTGCAGAAGTGAACGGCAGGGTCGGGAAGGGACGCCCTAGACGAAGTTTTATCGACCAAATCGGCGATACATTAAAAATGGGCCAGATTAGGACTACCCTTAATCGACGAGCGTGTATGCGTAGATATATGGATGTAAAGGAGGCGAGAGAGGTGTGTCAGGATCGCACCAAATGGAAGTCCGTAGTCTCTGCCTACCCCTCTGGGTGACAGGCGTGAGTGTTTGTGTGTGTGTGTGTGTTCTAATGTTTGCTCATGTGGAATTAAAGAATAATATTTTGGATGTACAGATCTCATCTCTATCTTTATGATCCAAGAGATATTGTGGTGTTTTTATTTTATTTTTTGATACAGGTTTTTTTTAAATAAATTCTTTTACCTATGTCACCATCATCTTTTTTCTTATTTTTACGCTTCTTTTTTAATTTTACAGTCTTATACTTCTCTGTACTTTGTGAACCAAATACAAGTAGTGGCAAGTCATTCTCCAAATTCGTATGTATATTTCCCAAAGCATCGACCGCCAAGTCTTCTGCTTTTCCAGTAGTCTCTAGAATAAAACAGATTCTGACTCAATATATAAAATAAAAACTTTAATTTTTTTCTAAGCGACTAGGTCATTACAGTCCATCACAGCTGGTATATGGTACCTTTTGATAATTTTTTTAATTTACTACTGTTTTACTTTAATATAATCTTATTTTTTTTACTGTCTCTATAACAACGGTTATTAAATTTAAGAGTGGAAAAAGCTCTAAATCTGACGTAAAATTTTAGGTAAATACTGGGAGGGAAAACATTGACACGGAATGATAAAATTAATATAGATAGACATAATTCTGAGTATAAGGTACGCAACCCTCGTCGACACACTCTGGATCTTTATAACGTTGTTAACGAGAGACTTGTGGACGATAAATCCGACACCTTGGGATAGATGGTCGCCCTCCCAGTAATACAACAAGTTGCCGGATTCGAGAATTACCGCTTCCTCCCCCTCACTTCGGACAATCCTATAATATGCCAGCGTAACTTGTCTATCTCTTCTTCCAGCTCCACAATCTTCTCGTCAGCCCTCAGGGTGCGTGCGTTGTATGTTGCCAGGTCGAGTCGTCGTAGGTGGCAACCGAACCTCCACCGGAGATTCTTAACACCCCCTGCCCCACCGTTACCATGGTCGCCACCGTAGCCAGGAACAGCGGGGCCGCCGGGGACTGGGGGCCGTCTCTTAGTAACTTTATCCATTTAGTAACTTTTTCCACGAGCGGGTTGGCAACCGCAGTTTTTTTATTGTATTTTTGCTGTTATCAGGAAGATGCTGCTGCCCATCTCCTGCCTGTTTCCCTTTGTCGCCTTTTACGACACCCACGGGAAGATATGGGGTAGTGGATATTCTTAACTGCCACTAAACGGCGTAAGTATATATCATTAATTCCTATGAAATTAATATGTCTTAATGACATACATACTGGCTGCATTCATAAACAGTCAAAATATTTTATAAATATATTAATACATAAGTAAAAAAATGTCTAATGAAGCTCATTATGATGTCCATACATGCTTATCTTTTAAATAATTATTTAATTTGTTTGCTCCACGAGAGTGCTTTTTTTTTGCAAAGGCAAATCCGTAAATCATTATCATGCACATGAAGCCCTCTTTATTTTATGTCCATGAGCTACAGTAAGCACTTGCCATTAGGTAAATTGTACCTTATTTTAATAATATCACAAAATATGTATATCTTACCTGTTTCATGATTCCCATTTTCTTCAAATTTGGAATTCTCATATTCGAAATTCTCTTCCTCAACTTTAACAGATTCAAGGCTAAAAATTTCGTCCATACAATCATTTTCTATATCACATTCTGCTGGTCTGATATCTATGTGACAAATTGGTGTGAATTGAATCTCATCTCTAGGCTCATGCGGTGTTGGTATTGACTGAAACCAAATTATTTTCTTAAGATAAGAGAAAAAAAAACCAGTGTAGTGGTGGTGTAGGAGAATCTGTACTACCCCATGCCATCTCTCAGAAGTCGTAAAAAGGATAGAGGGAAACTGAAACAGGAGATGGGCAGCAACATCTTCCTGACAAAAACTCCAAATAATAATTAAAATCAAACACAAGTAAGGGTTCCAAATAAACTTAAATAAGAATGTAGATAGTTCATCCATCCTGAAAATCAAGTCTCAACAATTTTTTGAATCAGATTAACGAATGCCATAAATTGACAAAGATCTATCTTTGTTTATTGAGTAATATTACCTATAGATAATCTTTAGTTTATATACAACAGGGTAATAATATATAACAGTATAAAAAGTCACATAGTTATTTTTGTAAAAATAAGAATTAACTTACTGTTCGTAAAATACAGAATTTTGCTCCAATGGGAATCAGCATAGAAAGCATGAGGCAGGTGATTGTCAAGGTGCCTGCTAATTGATGATTAAGACAAATGCTTTATTATAATGGGAATGACCAATTAAGCAGTGAACTTTTATTAATAAGAAGTATAATACTGTGGACCGTGCAGTGGCAGTGTAAGAATATCCACTACCCTCTATACCTACCCTCTGGATAGGTGTCGTAAGAGGCGACAGCCTCTTACGACACCCATCCCGTGGAAAGGGAAACAGAAACAGGAGTTGGGCAGCAGCATCTTCCTGATAACAACTCAGATTAATATAAACTGCAGTTGCCACCTTGCCAAGCATGGCAAATTTGGAAAAATTGTATAAGAAAAATGTATGAATTCTATGAGGGAGGCCTATGTTCAGCAGTGGACTTTTATTGGTTTTAATGGATGGAATGAATAATACCATGGACCCTCCTGCTAGCAACTGCTCCAGAACTGCATTTGACTCAATAGCCTGTTGTTGTAATTTTCTGCAACGAATGAGTCTTGCATCACAGATGAAACAGACAATTATGGGCCCCTCATCCATCTGAAAATATTAATGTTCGTAATAAATATGGAGGAAAACTACTTAAATATACAAGTTTTTTATAAAATCTATTGGCTACCACAATTCTCTTCATTAACATAATTTTTTTATAACACTGAAGTGACAAATAATCTTATAATCCACCAGATGGTAAGTGACTAGTGCAGCCCATGGGCACCTGCAACTAACTTCAAGAAAAGGCTACAGATGCGATGTTACCTCTGAGGACTAAGATGTAATACTTCAAAACCTGTTATTATACTGGCTTCTAATGCCCTTCAGACAGGGACACATACTGCTGCTTGGTGGCAGAAATAGGTATGAGCATAATAACTACACAGACAGACTTCTAGGCAGAAAAAACTCCTACCACCTAATGGATCATCATCACTGCATATCCATCGACGTCCCGTCTTACCAGATTGCCATTATCTAGTGGGGGGCCACTCTACAATTTGCCTACCAGTATGAGGCTACCACTCGAGAATTATGTTTCCCCATCTGTTGTTAGTTCTGCAAGCGATAAGGACACAATTCTCTAATTAATTTTAAATGTTGTAAGAGTCAAGTACATAGGAGTCTACCTTATAATAACAGATATAATTTTAAAAGCAGTAGAATCAACTCTTGGGACCTAGACAAAGGTATTTTCAAGTTCGGGCTTTCAAAATTCAATCCTACTAAACCTACTTTAAAATTTTAACTTCAAACTACTACATCACTATTAAAATTACAAATACTTCGCTTATGCTAAGTAAACTGAAAATTCTTGTGCTAGGAGTAATTTACAAGAATGGTAAAATGGCAGATTTGAACTTACTACTTTTGTTTGCATTATGCACCCTTAACTATTACGCTACTGTCAAATGGAAGTTAATATACATCCCCCTGGCAGTTTTAACCTTTTTAATTTAATATCAACTGCAGTATAAAGTAAGTTTGGACATCTAACAAGTAGATTATTTTATTCCATATGGATGACAGTAGCAGCATTCTCCTCATAACAGAATCAGGCCAGAATAATATAAAAATCAGTAATTGCCAACCGCCTAGACAAGCGCAACTATGGAAAATAACAAAACCAGAAATGATACTTAAAATATATAAAACATATATTCAACCTATTTTTGAATAAGCCTTCCAAATTATATTGAGTTACTGGAGAGGTTCAATGCAGATATTCAAAAGTTCCTAGAGGTTTGAAAACATACCATATGAGGTAAGTCTTTAAATATATGTATATTTTCAATAATTCACATCTCTGACTAATGAATACACAGTCCTGGTGGTAATTGAATGTTGTGGCCCATAGATATCTATATTTATCCCCAATTAAGAATCAAAGTGTAGATGCATTGTCGCCTCTGAGAATCATGATGGAACGCCTCACCATCAGTATATAGGGTTTCCTATGCTCTACACTCATAATATGAAACAGAATTGAAATAGTTGCTATTTTATGCTGGTATTCTGTGAGTGTGGTACCACCCCCATTGAGCAGACCCATCCATGATACAACCACAATATAGCTGCTGCAAGACTTCAACATATAAAATAATGATAATAATATCCTACAGACAGAATTTAGTGAGACTAACTGAGACTATTCATTAGCGCAGTGCAGGATTATATTGTATGTGTGTGTAAGTAAGCACATGTGCAGATTATTCCCTCTTCTGATTTCTCAGTCTGATAGGAATATGAGAAATATGAGTGAGGGAATTTCTATGTCTGTAGGCACATGTTCATTCTAATCTCCCACTTTAATTTTCCAATAGAACGGCATTAAGATTAAGATGAAGATAAGATTAGATAAGACACCAAACTAGGGTGGATGTCAATTTATTGATGGAAAATTGCAATAATACTCATTGATGTAATATGTTATAGAACAGACACTGTGAACAAAATCTATGCAGTAATGCAGGTCGCGTGGAAGGAGGCACAGACTCAGTAAGTTTGAGCCCGTGGGCTCTAACACATGTTACAAGCAACTATCAACTAAGTCTCGGTGTCTCTTTTAGTACGTAGTACATATTTATTTATCTATGGTACATATTACTTCAAGGCTCGTCTTTCATATACGGGATTCACAATAAGCTTTCAGATTTTTTTCTACATATTAATTATTATTTTGATCAATCTCACGAAGTTTCAGACTTAGGAAACAATTACTTTCTGAAATAAAAAACATCAAACATTGCTAAATTAACCTTAAATTTCGTACTATTTTATTGTTTTTGACATAATTTTGACAGCAGGTGTTGCTATTTTAGGGAGTTTTAATAATGCGTTTTTATTTTGCAAATAAGATGATGATGCATAATTTTTTTGCTATTTTATTTGGATTTAACAGTTTCACAGTTATTTGGGTGAATAATTACGAAAATTTAGTTTTTTCTTTAATTTACGGATTATAGTCTACTACCAACTTAGTAAAAAGGCACAGAGAACTTAGGATGAAAAGGTTAGGACAGGTTAGGTTCGAAGGGGATGGCTGTCTAGTGAGAGAGCGAAGCAAGTAAACTAAGACCACGTCATCCCCTTCATGTTGTTACTGTAAACCCTGCAAACAAAAATAGGAGCGCCGCGAACCGGGGCCCCGTCGACTGCGCCACGTTGAGTGCCATAGTGGGGGCCCCTATACCTCCCCCCATAAATCAGGTGTATCAAAACATAACCTCAAAATCCGATTTTAATGAATTCATAAAAAAAATCTATGCAATTCCTAAACTTTTCCCATGCGGGGGTAGATCTCCACCGCTTCACCTAGAATATACATATATTTACATCCCTTATATAAAAGTCCTTCCGTCATTTGATTTAACACTGCACCCTAACCTAGGCCCGATCTATCGCATTTTATATCAGGCAAGTTATAATGCGATCTCCAGCGATAACAACAATTGATGCAACTTCAATTTGTAACATTAAGAAGTATTATCAAACTCCTGTATAGGACAGTTACTATACTCTTTGTACCAAACTTACAAAACTGTTCGTCAATGTTTTATACAAATTTTGGACGTCAGTCTTCTTTAGTACAACCATGCGTACATTAACGTTTAAACAAATTCTACAAATTTCACTAAAGGCCATTTCTGTTTCACGTAGCTTTATAATTGTTAATTGAATTCTCTTTTTCATCAATACATCGGAGTGGAGTTTTCAAAATAATATGACATATGATTTTTTTAATAACTGGCTTTACGGCTCTGAGTTCTAGCTCTTCTGAGCCTGAAGTTACAATGTATAATTATCCTTCATAGAACACTGCTTCACAATATGTTGATGCGTCACAAGCTACCGTCAAAATCTTTTCATCTTTTGAAAAGATTTTGACGGTAACTTGAGCCAGCAGAAAGCTGACAGTTGGCGATGGTATCTCAAGGCGCCTAATCAGAAAACTTATTTTGAGAATCACATCACAATCAGAGCACTTGTTTCACCGTTTCCACTGATAGTTTACATGTATAGACATTTAATACACAAAATCGCACCACTTTTGCATTTTTTCCAGAGTTCGTTGCGAGTTTCGCGCGGAGCACCTTATACTCAGAATCACCAAACGGTATTCGCTGAAGGTCATACAGGTTTACGCACCAACTTCGGCACACCCCGATGAGGAGGTGGAGGAAATATATGAGGATATCTCTAGTGCCATGCATTCCTCCAAAACCCAATATACGGTGTTAATGGGAGACTTCAATGCAAAACTAGGCACAAGAGAGAATGGTGAGCTGAAAGTAGGGAAATTTGGAACAGGGCAACGGAACCCAAGGGGCCAGCAGCTCACCGACTTCACGGAGAAAGAGGGACTCTATATGATGAACTCTTTCTTCCAGAAGCAGCCCCCTAGGAAGTGGACCTGGTCGAGCCCGACGGTTCGATAAAACATGAGATTGACTTCATTATGACGACCAGACGACAACTGTTCAGTGATGTCTCAGTGATCGCGAGGGTGAACACAGTATGTGGACTATGAGAAAGCCTTTGATTCCGTCGAAATTTTGGCGGTGCTGCAGTCCCTTCAGCGGTGCCAAGTGGACTACCGGTATATCGAAGTGCTGAAGTGCTTGTACAGTAGGGCTACGATGGCTATCCGAGTACAGAACCAGAATACGAAACCTATCCAATTGCAGAGAGGTGTAAGACAGGGTGACGTTATATCCCCGAAACTCTTCACCGTTGCATTGGAAGACGTTTTCAAGCTTCTGGACTGGAAAGGATACGGTATCAACATCAATGGCGAGTACATCACTCACCTTCGATTTGCCGACGATATAGTCCTTATGGCAGAATCGCTGGAGGACCTAATCACTAACCTCAATCACCTCAATAGTGCTTCCCAACGGATAGGTCTTAAGATGAACATGGACAAAACAAAGATCATTTTTAATGTCCATGTTACACCTATGCCGGTAGTTGTTGGGAGCACTAAGCTCGAAGTTGTTGACGAGTATGTTTACCTGGGACAAATAGTCCGACTAGGTAAGTCCAACTTCGACCGAGAGGTCAATCGACGGATTCAACTCGGTTGGGCAGCGTTCGGGAAATTACGGCACATCGTCTCGTCAGGTATACGTCAAAACTTGAAGACGAGACTGTACAACCAGTGCGTGTTGCCAGTGATGACATACGGAACTGAGACGTGGTCTTTCACTGCTGACCGAATGAGGAAGCTCAAGGTCGCCCAGCAAGCTATGGAGAAGTCTATGCTCGGAGTTTCTCTGCGTGATAAACTCAGAAATGAGGATATCCGCAGTAGAACCAGAGTGACCGACATAGCCCAACGAATTAGTAAGCTGAAGTGGCAATGTGCCGGCCATATAGCTCGAAGAACCGACAACCGATGGGGAAGAAAGGTTCTCGAGTGACAGCCTCGTACCGGCAGGCGAAGTATTGGGCGTCCCCCACTAGATGGAGTGACGACCTGGTAAGATATGCAGGAAGTCGATGGATGCAGGTGGCTCAGGACCGTCTTTTGTGGCATTCCTTGGGGGAGGCCTATGTTCAGCAGTGGACTTGTAAAGCGCTGTAATGATGATGATGATGATGAATTAATATTGTATTAATTGTTATAGGTATTGTATTTATGCACAGATACTCATACTTGATTTTTTTTTTATGTCTTTGATATAAAAGTGTACTAAATATTTAATATATTAATTTCTATTAAATATGTTATTTTGCAGCTTTCCTAAAGAATCAGCTATCCGTAATTGCTGGATAATCGCTACTGGTGGTGATTATAGATAACCAACAAAACTTGCAGTGTTTTCTCAAAACATTTTGAGCCTCATTGTTTTAGGCAGACTAAATATGCTTAATTTATGTAATTTATAATATAAGTAAGATAAAATATTTAAAATGTTATATTTTCTTGATGTGTCTTGTTGTTTCTTCATAAGTGATATAAGTTTGAGCTCGTTGGAAATTATGATTTTTGACATTGTTCTGTATGTATTAAAAATTGACTAGCATTGCTTAATTTATATATGGTTCTTGACTTTTTATTTTCAAATTTCTCTGTTATGATTCTGTATTATTATGACTTGCAATAATAATTGTAATAATTTTATTGTAATTTATATTTATTTGATTTTTTTTTGTGTAATTTGATTGCATGACAATGACAAAATATTTACTTATAGATAGATTGATTAAACATGAATCCTCATTTACAAATGTAGGACCTTTATCTGTACTACCATGTTTTATGCAAGTAAAGATTTAAATAAAATAAATAAATAAGTAATTTTAAGTCCCCACCTAAATATACAAATGAATAATTTATTATGCAATAATAATTGTAAAACTAACTCTGGGAATGCCGGCCAATGAGATATTTAGTCCACCTTTAATCCTTTTTATAAAGGCGTTATAAACAGTGGAATTAAATTAAGAAATAAATAATTTATTAATAATAATTTCCATTTAATTGACATAAATAATGTAATGATTTCTTATATTTACGCGAACACTACACATTGAATTAAACTCCTTTTTACGGATTTTATCGCGTTTAATTTACTTATTTTATATTCCCGACGTCAAGTCACGGGGGACTGAGGTGATTGACGTCCCGATGTCAGAGTTAACCCGGAGTACCTTCAGCTTTTTTAATTATTAATTTTGGTCCGATCTACGGAGAATGAACTTACTGTGTCTTGAAGTCTTGCAGTGGTATGCTTGGTTTTAGTTTTAATTTTTTGAATTACAGGATCCCAAGCAGTACCCAGCCTCCCTCTTCATTGAAATTAGGATGTTTTTTTAATTTCAATAGCCTCACGTATCATCGTTGTTAGGAATCGATGTTCTTTCGCGAGAATTTGTGGTTTATCAAATCTAATGTAATGGCGGGGGCCGTCTAGGATATAATCACAAACTGCAGACTTCCCGGAACATTGGTGCTTCA